TCTCTCTCTCTCTCTCTCTCTCTCTCTCTCTCTCTCTCTCTCGCGCGCGCGCGCGCGTGCATGTTCGTGCATGCATGTGTTGTCATGTTCGCTATGGACAACTCCAGAGAAGGGGGCATGATTGTGCCAGACTGTTTCATCGGATTTTCACCGACTCATCAGGAGGTTGAACCCCGACAGTCTGCCCGAGATGCAATTGCGTGTGTGTGTGTGTGATGTCACGTTCGATATACACATTTGAGAGAGAGAGCGCACCAAGCCCATAGCACCCAGCACGTGACACCGAGCACCAAGCACGTAGCACCGAGCACGTAGCCCTGACCACCAAGCACCAACCACGATGGACACCGACCACCAAGCACCGACCACGACACGATGCACCAAAGCAGGAGAGAGAGTAGACGGGAGTATGCACGGGAGTGGGCGCGTCGAGCAGCCGTGAGTGTAGGCGCGTCAAGGAGGCGCAGGTGTAGGAGCGTTGAGTAGCCCCGTGAGTCGAGCAGGCATGGGAATAGAGCAGGCGCGCACAAAAAGAGTGAAAATGTGGGCCTCGTGGGCATTTTGAGGGCTGGGCGGCCCTACCGGTTGTCCAAAGATCGCGTGGCGATCTGATTTGTGGCATCAGGTGGTTGAGGCGGACTAACCACGACATTGACTGGGCTACACTATTGTGACACTAATGGACAGCAAGGGTGGGCATCGGAAATGCCTTTCGGCAAGCGAGTATCATCCTAAGGTGAGCTTTCATTGCTTATCTGCTGGAAAGTTTCACAACTATTGTAGGCAGCATCCAATGAGAGAGTGTTCCTGGCACTGGTTCAGGATGATCAAGCGCCTTCTCACAAACCTCCTCCTCCTATTAAGGCACTGCTGGCAGAATTCAGCGATGTGCAAGGTGAACCCATTGGCGTTCAACCTAGGGATGTCCCTGACAGTCAAGTGCCAAAGGGTCAGATCTATAGAATGTCTCCAGCAGAGCTAGAGGAATTGTGAAAACAGATCGCAGAGCTCATTGACAAGGACAGGATTCGTAGAAGCACTTTCCAGTTTGGCACACTCGTTCTTTGTGTTCCCAAGAAGTCAGGTGAAGTCCAGATGCGCATAGACTACCGCAAAGATCTCTGTCCAAGACCTAAGAAATCAAGGGTGAACCGCAAAGCAAGTTTTACCAACCGAACAGAAAAGCCCAATACCTAAACGTATGTCCAAAAACGTTTTTAAAATGAGTACCTTGGAGATTGATGTGCTCATTGACGATTCCAAGTAGCAGCATGCAGTCTGAGCCATGTAGAAATGTCAGGAGGAGCTGAAACGAATACTGCTTTCAAAACAAATGAGCAAACAAACCACACGTAAATTTGCATATGTCAGTATATCAGAGCTTCACAGCCAGCCAAACACTACACAAGCAGCACCACGAACCCGGGGCATAACCATAGTAAAACAGCATGAAAACTCCAAAAGGCCTCCGTTCCATGACGACGCCAAAAAGTCTCTTTGCCATGGTGGGCACCACGAGCACTCTAGCACTTGCATTCACATTCTACGCCATGCTTCAAACCTTTTTGTGCCATGGTTTAACAACCTGCCAGTGGCAAACAAAGAGACATCTCTCTCTCTCTCTCTCTCTCTCTCTCTCTCTCTCTCTCTCTCTCTCTCTCTCTCTCTCTCTCTCTCTCTCTCT